GGAGAGGAGGAGGAGGAGGAGGAGGAGGGAGGAGGAGGAGGAGGAGGAGGAGGAGGAGGAGGAGGAGAGGAGGAGGAGGGAGGAGGAGGAGGGAGGAGAGGAGGAGGAGAGGGGGGGAGGAGGAGGAGGGGGGAGGAGGGGGGAGGAGAGGAGGGGGGAGGAGAGGAGGGGGAGGAGGTAGAGGAGGGCGAGGTGCAGCGAGATGCCACCCTGTTTGACTATGACACTGATGAGGATGATGATTTCATGTAACTAACAATTTCTAATGCAAGCTGCCTTTTCCAGACAAATCTGTTGGAACGTTTCGAATTTGTCTTAAGCTTTCAGACATAATTCCCCATTCTATCTGAATCAGACAACGCCAAAATTTTCCAGACAAAATACTGAACCAGAGTCTGATGGCTCAGACAAGGAATTATTGAAAAGAGGGCCCTGCTCAACAGCACGATGCAACCAGGAGAACAGTAGAAGGGATATACGAACAGGACGAAGCAGCAAGTTGACTGCATAAGAAAAGGTCCAAAAAGAAAGCAACAAGATGGTTGAAACGTGGACGCAAAGCTAAGCTGCAGCCATGAGCACAGCGCACCAGGGATGAAACTTATATGCTGGTGGTACACATCCAGGAGCACAACTGCATGTGAAGGAGCACTGCGGTGCAGGTGCTAGCAGCAGCGGCAACACATGCTACAGCATGCTGCTGCAAATGCTCTGCTGCTGGTGGCTGCTGCTGGCTGCTGGCGGCTGCTGGCGGCTGCTGCTGGCTGCTGCTGGCTGCTGCTGGTGGTACTGGTGAAGAAGCCAAGCAGCAGGCGGCCACCATACACATAGCTGGGCACACGGACATGGCCTAATGGTATGGTAGCTGGGGGGCAGAGGGATTGCTATTGCTCTGCTAGCAAGGGGGTACCCTGCGGTGAAAGAAGGTGGTGATGGGTTTCACACGCAGAGGGGGTTGGCTGCTGCTGCTGCTGCCAGGGGCTGCTGGCTGCGCTGGGGGCGGGGTTGCTGGCGCCGCTGCTGCTACTGCTCCTGCTGTTGCCGCTCCTTGTGCTGAAGGGTGGGTTCAGTTAGAGAGGAAAAATAAAGCATAGCTATTATGAAGGCAGCCAATAGGGGTGGTTTGTTCTAGTTAGAGGCGTAGCTAGCTGTACTCAAGAGGCAGGAGAGAGCAGGATGACCACATACGGTTCTGGCGCATGTGCAGGAGAACAAGGAGGGATCAAGGGGGAGGTAATGGCATGAGAAAAGAGTGAGGGAGGGAGGGAGGTGGGGGGACGAGGAGAGAGCGCAATAGAGAGAAGGTGTGGGAAGAGAGAGGGAAGGAGGAAAAGGAGCATTCGAGAGGAAGGAGAGAGCGCAGCAGCAGGGATCTCACCAGCAGCAGGTTTCGCAGGGGTGGTCGACTCCTTGCCTGTAGGCCCAGGCACAGTTGGTGGTGGCAGGTGCAGCATTGTCCCAGCACCAGCAGATGCGCCAGCAGCTACAGGACTCTTTGAGCCTTCACCAGAACAAAAGTTCGCCCCCGCAGTTCCTACTGCTGTTCCTGCAGCCACTCCTTCTGCTGTTCCTGCCAAGCTTCTTGCAGCACCAGCAGCAGTAGCAGCAGCAGCAGCAGCGGCGGCAGCAGTAGCAGCAGCAGCCCCAGCGGCACCAGTGGCAGCAGTAGCAGCAGTAGCAGCTCGCACTGGCAAGAGCATCTGGGCCCACGGCGATGCGGTCGAGTGCGGAGCAGATACTAGGATATGCGACGTGGTGCCCCATCCAACCACTCGCCTCTTTCTTCGGTGCAGCACCACAGCACACTCCTCTATACCGCTCTCCTTGCCACTCTCCTTCCCCCCTTCCTCCGACCCTTGTGCATTGCTGCTTGTGGCGTTCCCTCCACTCAGCTCTGTTTCATGGCGCTCTGCATTCTGGTCAGTGCTTCCCACTTTGCTTCCTGTCTCCCCCACCCTCCCTGTGCCCCCTATGACCCCTGTGTCCTCTGCATCCCCTGTTTCACCCCCCCTGCTGGTGTTTACACCAGGACCCGCTTCTCTCTTGCGCTTCTCCCCCCATCGCGGGAGGGCGACGGGCTGGAGAGAGGGGAAGGGGGTTATCCAGAGGGGGGGGGGAGGGCGGGGGAATAGAGGAGTGAGTTGTATGTCTGAGGCGCATTGGAACAATCTCTCTTCTGCTCTCCCCCTATCCAAGCAGGACAATGGGCTGGAGAAAGGGGAAAGGGGTGATGGAAGGGGAGTGGGGTATGGACAGAGGGATGACTGAGAGGAGAGCTGACAGCAGGTGGGGGGAGGAGGGGGGGAAGGAGAAATGATAGTAAGGGCATCAAGGCAGGTGAAATGTTAACACTAGGAGTGAGGGAGAGGGGGGGAAGGAGAAGGGAGGGAGTGGTGGGGGGAGAGGGGACGAGTGGTGGGGAGAGAGAGGGGAGGAGAGAGAGGAGGGGATAGGGAGGGTAAGGAGCGGAGGAGAGAGGAGTGTAGAGAACACCACATACCTGAGGTGCGTGTGTGAGTGATGGGGGGGGGGGGAGGGGAGGCGGGGGCGGCGTGGCGGGGGGGTGGGGGGAGGGGAGCTCACTTGTCGTTTGGTGCGGGGTTGCGGTGGAGTGGGTGGGGCTGGGAGGAGTGGCAGGGAGATGAGCAGGCCTGGCTCCAGCACTTGCACTGCCAGGGCCTGCAGGTACCGTAGATGCTGCTGCTGCTGCTGCTTCTGCTGCTGCTGCTTCTGCTGCTGCTGAGCCTGCCTGTCCGGCTTCCCACCCTCCTGCTTCTCCTTCTCTTCCCCCCCTTGCTTCTCCCCCTCCTGCTGGCCATCACCACCACTACCAGCACCACCACCGGCAGCATCACCAGCAGCAGGAGTAGCAGCAGCGCCAGGCAGCGCGTGCAGCACCACGGGTCTGCCCACTGCCAGCGCCCTCTGCACCGCTTTCTGCAGCACCTGCACCTGCCAGTCCGCCGGCCGCCCCTCCTCCCCCCTCTCCCCCTTCTCCCCCTTCTCCCCTTTCTCCGCCCCCCCTGCGCCTGCCACCCCCCCTGCCCTGCTCGCCGCTGTGGCAGCAGGGGAATCAGGCGCCCTTGCATTGGCACCACTGGCACCACCAGCAGCACCACCAGAACCACCAGCACGGGCACATGCGTCTACTCCCTCATCCGCAGAAAGGTATCCGTCCGGCACCACAAACCCGTCCTCGTCCTCGTCGTCCTCCCCCTCGCCGCCCTCCTCCGGGTCTATCTTATCCAAGTCGTCCTCACCCTCCGAGTCTGACAGGCTCTCCCCTGCTGGGTCCTCCTGTTGGGGGAGGGGGGTGGGGGGGGGGGGAGGAAGAGAGAGGGAGGGGGGGAAGGGAGGGGGGTGTGTCGTTTTGAACCGCTTCAAAAGTAGGGGGCAAATACCCATCCAGCACCACAAACCCATCCTCGTCCTCGTCGTCCTCCCCCTCGACCCCTTCCCTCCGGGTCTTACTTATCCCAGTCATCCTCGCCCTCCGAATCTGACAGGCTCTCCCCCGCTGGGCCGTCCTGATGGGGGATAGTGGGCGGGGGGTTGAGAGGTGCATGGTGCAGTCAGGGACAGGAGGAAATGGATTTCACCAATCACTACATTACACCACCTTACCCTACACCACCTTACCCTACACCACCTTACACAGTCAACTCCAACACAATGAACCGCGCATAACCAGTCCCCATCCGATCATTCCACCTCTGCCCGTCCGTCTCCACACCTCCTCCCTCTCGGCCCCAAAGCCCCTCTCACCTCCTCCCTCTCGGCCCCAAAGCCCCTCTCACCTCCTCCCACTCGGCCTCGCTGTCCACGTCGTAGTTGAGCACAGGGTCTTTGCGCAAGGGCGCACGCGGCCGCACCACACCACTGCTGTGTCATGCCATGCCATGCCATGGCACGTCAAGGTGGCGCGTTTGGTACAGGGGAAGAGCCAGTGGAGGAGTGATGAGGAATGCGAGGGATGGAGGGAGGGAGAAGAAGGTGAGAGATGCGAGGTGCAACACGTGCAAAGTGTGCAAAGTGTGCACCTAGGGTGCGCGTATATAACCGAAGTGCAGAGATAAAGGGCAGAGAACAACGGTTGGGGCGAAACAGCGCTGGGAAGCAACGCCAAGCGGTGGGCAAGCTGACGTGGCAACCAGCATGACGCACAACTGACGGTAGCTAGATCTAGGTAGAGGTGAGTAATCGCCATACCTGACAAGAGAGTAGGTGCCATAGTATGCGGGCCTTATGCTCTCCATAAACAGCAGCAGCTTTGGGAGATTCTTGATTCGACTCAACAATCACCATCAGCACGTACCTGGCGATGGTGAGTAATCGCCATACCTGACAAGAGAGTAGGTGCCATAGTATGCGGGCCTTGTGTTCTCGGTAAACTGCAGCAGCTTCCTCCGCCTCCGCTCCCTCCTTTGCACTTGCCACTGCTTCCTTTCCCCCCCACCCTCCTCCCCTCCCCCTTCCCCTTCCAGTTCCCCCTCCCCTCCCCCTATCCTCCTCCCCTCCCCTTCCCTCTTCCCCTCAACCTTCTTCCACTCAGATTTCCCCGTCTCATTCACCCTTCCACCCATACCAGCGCCTCCCCCCTCCGCCGCACCCTCTCCTGGTTCTCCCCCATCCGCTCCTCCCTCCTCCCCCCCCACCAGCCGCATCACCTCATCCTCCTCCTTAGCCGCATGTGCCTTCTTTCCCGAGCCAACAGCCCCATAAGGATCCACACAAGAGCCCGCACTGGTGGCTGAAACACCACCAGCGCCCCCAGCACCCGCAGCACCACCACCTGCTGCTGCTGCTGCTGCCCCTGCTGCTGCTGCAGCGCCCGAGCCAGCGTGCTTATGCCCGCGCCCGACGGCGCTGCTGCTGCTGCCACAGTTTGGGGCAGCGGCCCGGGGCTGCGTGCGCTGGCCCCACGGCCGGTGCTTGCGGCGCGGGGAGCAGCTGGGACGCACACGCGTGCTCGCATTGGGAGGGGGGTCGGCTGGCAGGAGGGCGTGGCGCGAGCTCCATTTTTCGCAAAGGGAGCTGGAGGGGACGGGATGGGAAGGGCAGCAGCAAAGGGATGGAGACAGAAGGTTGGAAAGGACGAGGGGAGGAGGAAAGAGGGCGGGGAAGGGGGGATGGGGGAAGGAAAGTCGGAAAAGAGCGTGAGCGGCTCCCGCAACCCCGTTTGCAATGCAACCTCCTTGGCCTGCCGTCCCCCCCATTAAAACCCCCAACCCCTCTGCGCACCTCTACGGCGCATCTTCCCCGCTTCCTTCCGCTCATCCACTTTGCATTAGCCCTCTCTCTCATGTCACTCCCCCAGCAGCGCCCACTCCCTCCCCCAGCGACCATTCCTTCCCCCTCCCCCCCCCAACAGCGCCCACTCTCTCCAGCGCCGAGTTTCTCACAAGGCCCGCTCCTACCACCCCCCCAGCACCACCCCTCCCTCCAGCGCGGCCTACCTGAGCAGTTCCGCCTGCGACAGCGCGCACGGGCGCGCCAGATGCGCGTCAATCGCCTCTGTATCGGCGGCAAGAGGCGCGCCAAGCCGTGCGGCGCTTGCTGGCGGCGGAAGGAACGGGGACGCCTTGGCGGGCGGGGGCGTCTTCTCCCCCAGCCCGCTGCCCGAGGCCCCCGCGGCACCTGGCGCTTCCCCGCCACCCTCGCCTGCTGCTGCGCCCGCTGCAGCGACGCCCGCGTGCGCTGAACCCGCTGGGGTGGCGGAATGGACAGGTGTGGCGGCTGCTGGGGCGGACTGTTGTTCGGAAGAAATGTAAGTGAGAGAGTGAGGGAAAGAGAAAAATATAAAGAAGGCAGGAGAACCATGGAGGAGGCAGGGGCAGGATCAGGACGGCTCTCAAAAACGACAAAGCTCTGGAAACGAGGAGGGCAGAGAGCAAAGCAGCAGCAGCACTCACCTTGAGCTCGTCCTTCTTCTTGCCCAAAAAACGGCTCATGAAATTCGCGGATTTCTGCTTTGCCGCCCGCTGCTTCTCCTCCGCTTCCTCCTGCTTCCTCCTCTTCAGCTCCCTCTCCCTCTCCTCCTCCTTCCTCTTGTTCTCCTTCTCCTCCCGCGCCTTCTGCTTACGGAGCCTGTCAGACTCCTCCTGCTGCCGCTTCTGCTCCTTCTCCTCGTCCTTCTTCCGCCGCTCCTCCTCTCGCTTCCGCCGCTTCTCCTCCTTCTCCTCCTCCTCTTGCTTCTTCTTCGCCTCCAGCTCCTCCTTCTTCTTCCTCCGCACCTCCTTCGCCTCCTCCTCCTTCTGCCGCTTCCGCTCCCGCTCTTCCTCCCGCTGCTTCCGCTTCAGCTCCCGCTCTGCCCCCTCCTTACTCGTCCCCTTCCCTCTAGCCTTCTTCACGCCAGTGTTTGCCTTCACAATATCGATTTTTCCGCCTGCCCCCGTGCTAGTGCCGCCTGCGAGGCCTCGGGTTGCGCCAAGCGCTGCCATCGGGCTCGGGCCAATAAAGTCGGAGATAGGCCTGGAACGAAACACCTCGCCGTCTAGATGCCCCGCTATCTCGTCCCTTTCAGGAGTCCTGCTCGTCTCATTCGTCTCTTTCGTCTCTTTCGCCTCAATCGCCACTTTCGCCACTTTCGCCTCGACTCTCTCCCCATCTACCTGATCCTCCTCTTCCTCCTCCCGTTCTGCCTCTTCCTCGTCTTCCTCCTCTTCCTCGTCTTCCTCCTCTTCCTCCTCCTCCTCCATCTCCTTGTCTTCCTTCTCCGCCGCTACTTCCTCCTCCTGCTGCTTCTCGGCGCCGTTACCTGCAGCAGCGAGAGCTTCTTTAGTAGCGATAGCAACGTCCGTAATCTCGACCGGTCCGTCCTTAACTCCAGTGCTGACGTCACCAACTGCACTTTGCTCCGCTGCTGTGTCACCCACGGGTCCTAGTGACGTGGGTCCAGGCAACCCTACCCTCGCTGTAATCCCCTTCACTTCGACCACTGGGGGCGAGTCTACAGACCCGCATACGATGACGCAATCGCCACCACCCATTTTGTCGAAAGGTCGGTATTCCCAGTGGCTGCGAGAAAGTGACAGAAAATAGGGGACGAAGAGGAAGAGACGGATTAGTCGACGGAAGGATGTGGAAAGATGTTAAGATGGACACGCGATGAAATTACTACGCTTCGAAGCGTACCAGGGGAAAAAGTGAACGTATTTCTCTTCCGTAGCTCAATAGTCATTCAAATGCGAATCGTGGCGCCTTGAGACGTCGACGGCACAGATGGGCGGCAAGGGAAGTCGTATTGCTAACTGCGAGCGCGAGAACCGCAATAAAGCTACTGCTACGTGGCCGCTAAAACAGTTCGGTGAGCGAGGCTGTCGCCCAGGGAGCAGCTAAACTTGAGCTGTGAAAAACAAAGCTCCTCCTAAGGGTGAACGAGCGAGGCAATAAGGCTGCGATGGAGGTCGACGCGATTCCAAGGAGTGCGAGGAGGTCGACAACCGCGAGCGAATAATCGTTTTGAAAAAGCACTCATGGCAGCTCGCAAATGGCAGGCCTCGCAACGAGCAGCTAAGAATTTTTCTAGCAGCGAAAATAGTAAGCCGAGACGTGAAAGGTGATGTGGTATGGTGAGGTGGTGAGGAGGATGCTCTGTTCAGGGGGGATGCGCGCGCGAGAATGTGAGGCGGGAATGAGAGGCGTTGTTGCGGTTTTCCCCCTCTTCTTCCGCATGCTCATCTGTGTGTGCGGGGCGGTCGAGGTGATATGGTTGGGGGAGAACTTTGGGGGGAAGAATGGTTCTCGGGGGTTGGGCGCAAGGAAAAAATCCAGCATCAGGGGGCAAAGTGAAGCGGGGAGGATGCTGGTTGACTTCCGCACCTGATGGGGTATTCGCGCGCCAACGGCTCGTGGCGCCCAAGTGTGGCTTTCGCATGTCCAACAATTCAAATTCTCGAGTTCAAACATTCCAAATGGCCACAAATCTTTCTCGATAAAAGAAGAGGCGTCGACAACGATAAGCAGCTCCGTCTGGCAAAACTGGAACAATAGCATTGATGACAATGGATATGGAGCAAACCCAGATGGTCAACATAGCACATTCACATTTACACTGCAACTCATACAATCATGATGCTATGAATCCATGTAATGTTTCATTGCATTTGCATCAAGCAACCGCTTCTCATAAAAGAAACTCACACAGCTGGATAAATCAAAGATTTGGGCAGCACCCTCCAGCAAAATGAAAGTAGTGGAGGCTTTTCGCCACAAAAGTGGTGCTGTGTGTCAAATATAACTTATGTAGTTGCTGTAGAATATACTGGATTGTGCCTTAGGGTACAACCCCTAGTCTATATACCCCTGTATACTTCTATTCTACTCAACTACTCATTCTGATATGGTATCATAGTAGGTTCGCCCCCCTCCTAGCCCGCCCGCGCTTCCGCCCTAGGCCCTAGCCGCCGTCACGCCCGCCCCTAGCCGTCGCGCCCGTCCCTAGTTGCCGTCTCACCCGTTCCCAGCGGCCGTCGCGGCCGTTCCTAGACGCTGTCGCGACCGTTCCTAGCCGTCGCGGCTGTCCCTATTCGTCTCGCGGCCGTCCCTAGCAGCCGTCGCGGCCGTCCCTAGCCGCTGTCTCGTGGCCATTCCTAGCCGTCGGAAACGTTCCTAACCGCCGTCGCGGTCATTCCCAGCCGTCGTCGCAGTCTTTCCTAGCCGCCGCGACCGTTCCTAGGCGTCGTGAACGCTCCTAGCTGCCGCCACGGTCGTTCCTAGCCGTTCTCGCGGCCGTTTTTAGCCGTCGCGGTCGTCCTTAGCCGTCGTCGCGGCCGTTCCTAGCAGCCGTCGCGATCGCCCTACCCGGCCCCCTGCGCCGTTGGGTACGTCCCTAGCCGGCCCCGTGTGCCGTCGCGCCCGTCCTAGCCGGCCCTGCTCGCAGTCGCGCCTGCCCCTAGCCGGACCCTTCTCGCCGCCGCGCCCGTCCTGGCCGTTCCTCCCCTGAGCCATCGCGCCCTCTCCTAGCCGGCTCCTCGTGCCGCCGTGCCCGCTCCTAGCCGGCCCCTTCGTGCCCGCTCCTTACCGGCCCCTCGTGCTCGCCCCTCGTCGGCCCCGTGCCCGCCCCTTGCCGGCCCCTCGCGTCCCCCGTCCGCCGGCCGGCCCCTAGCGTCCGCCGTTGTCGCCGGCCCGCATTCGCTTCGCCACCGGCCCGCCGCCGACTCGTGCCCGGCCCTTTCTTCCCGACCAGCACCGCCCTACAACCCCCCTGGTACCGCACTGCACCGCTTTGCACCGCACAACCCGCCCTGCACCACTTTGCACCGCACGGCACTGCTTTGTACCGCCCTGCACCGCTTTGCACCGCACTGCACCACTTTGCACCGCTCTGCACCACACTGCACCGCGTTGTACCGCACTGCATCGTACTGCACCGCACGGCGCCGCACTGCACTGCTCTACACCGCCCTGCATCGTTCCTGATGGCGGAGGTGCTTCCCTTTGATGCTGAGGGCCAGCCGATTGAGTTTGAGGCGTGGCTGGCCGACCTCCGCCGCCACTTCACTGGTCAGCGGCAGGATGGCCACTCGCTGTCTGTCCATCTTGACGGTACGCTGCCCTGCCCTGACCCCCCTGCTGCGCTGCCCGCTGACCCCTCGTCTGCCGAGCGTGAGTCCGCTGCGGCCGCTGCCCTTGCTTGCTCCGTCTGGCTGTAGCGTGATGCTCTCACACAGCTTGCCACCAGCCATGCCCTCCCCCTCTCTGAGCGCCCTCGCTTTAGGTCTCTCACCACTGCCCAGGCTTTCCTAGATGATGTTGTCCAGCGCTATTCCACCCCGCTTGCTGCTTCGGTAGGTCGCCTGATCCTTCCCATGCTCTTCCCTGACCTTGCGTCGTTTCCCACTGTCGCTGATCTGGCCGCCCACCTGCGCACTATAGACGAGACCTGGCGTGCTGCCTGCACTGACACACAGCTTCGCGCTCACCATCCGCCCCTCTGCTTTGCTCTCTACCTGCTAGCCACCCACGTCCCTGATCGCCTTGCCACTGCCCGCGACCGCTTCCTTAGCGTCCACCCCGGAGACCTCACCCTCACTGACTTTGTCGACACCCTGTCCGCCATAGAGGCCCGCCACCGCTCTATCGCCCAGACCAGCGGTACTTTGCTGGTCCCTATCTTTCAGGGTTGTGCCCCCACTCAGTGCACCTTCTCCGACGGTTCTGCTGCTGTGGCTGAGACAGCCGCTGCAGCACAGGTCCGTTCAAGGAAGGGTCGCCGCCCCCAAGCTGGGCGCGGCGGAGGGGGTGGGGGTTCAGGTGTAGGTGGTGGTGGAGTTGGGTCACCTGGTGGTGGCGCGGACGAGGGGACCCTGATAGGTGCAGCCGAGCAGCTGTCTCAGCAGCCGCAGGCGTTGCAGCCGAACACGCGCAAGTCGCTGCGGCAGTCCTCGCACCAACCGCAGCCGCCGCAGCCGCAGCAGCCGAGGCGGGCGAGTGGTCTCCCGCCCGGGTGGCCTGGCGCTGGTGGTGGTGCTGGACGTGGTGGTCGTGCGAGTGGTGGGCTGCCGGGTGGTGGTTCGGGTGACGCGCGCTGTCAGTACCTGCTCCAGACCGGTCCTCGCCGTGGCTTCGTTTGCGGTAAGATCGGCCACACCTCCGTCCGTTGTTTCCGTCGCTTGGACAACCTGTTTCGTCAGCGCTTCGACCCGTCGCCCCAGCTCCCAGACTGGCACAGCTTGCTTCGTCATAGCATTGTGATCTTTGATATGGACATGGATGAGATTGTTACTGCCTTGCATGTGATGTATGCTGATGACTCTAGTGTGCTCCCTTCTTATTACCCCTTGTTGCCGAGTGTAGGTGTGCCTAGCTTAGAATCCCCTGCTGCGTCAGGCGTAGGATCCCTTGCTTTGTTTAGCCTTGGTGCTTCCGTCGCTGCTTCGACTCCGGCCACCACTACCGCGCTTTCCTTCACCTTGGACTCTGGCGCTTCCCGGTGTTTCTTCCGCAACTCCACCACACTGACGCCGCTTCCTGTTCCTGCTGCAGTTCTCTTGCTGACCCCTCCTCCGGCCCTATAGTCGCCCGCAGTTCCACCACCCTTCCCTGTCCAGCGGTTCCTTCGCGCTCTCTCACTCGTTTGCACATCCCCTCGTTCTCCAGGAACCTAGTTGGTGTCGGCTACTTCCAGGACCTTGGCGTCACCACTACGTTCCCTGGTCACGAGCGGTACGTTGTCTGTACCGAGGCCGCCACTGGTGCCCCCCTTACCACGTTCCCACGGGACCCGGTGTCCGGCCTTTTCACACTGGACACTGTGACTTCCCCGGCTGGGACGCCCCCTCAGGTGGCTGCGTTTACTCAGGTTGCTCCTGCTTGCTCCTGTCGGTCACTCACTCACCCGACCCTCCTTTGGCAGCTCCGCCTAGGTCACTCTGCGCTCCCGCGTCTGCATCACATGCCCGAGCACGGTCTCGTCCTAGGCCTCCCCGGGTCGTTCCCCGATGTGCCAAACGTTCTCATCCTGTGGCTTATCTCTGCGCGTGTCCACCGCAGTCTCCCTGACTTGCGTCTCCACTCTGACCGTGATGGTGAGTTTGCCTTTGGTGTCCTTGGTCGTTTCTGTCGTGCGGAGGGCATCACCCAGACGTTCACCTTGCCGGACTCCCCGCAGGAGAATGGGGCAACTGAGCGACGCATCGGTTTGGTCATGGAGGTGGCTCGCACCTCCATGATCCATGCCGGTGCACCCCATTTTCTGTGGCCGTTCGCTGTTCGCTACGCCGCTCACCAGGTTAACCTTTGGCCGCACCCCCAGCAGCCGCAGGTTTCGCCGACCCTTCTTTGGTCTGGGTAACCTGGTGACGCGTCTGCGTTTCACGTCTGGGGCTGCCTTGCTCACGTTCATGCCTCCGCCACGGACAAGCTCACAGCCCGTACCCTTCCCTGTGTCTTCCTCGGTTTCCCCCTTGACGCGTCTGACTGGCACTTCTACCACCCGCCGTCTCACCAGTTCCTTCACTCCCGCGACGTCACCTTTGACGAGTCCGTCTCCTTCTACCGCCGCTTCCCCCATTGTGGTCCCCTGATTAACCCCCCCCTGTTCCTTGTCACCCCTTCCCCGGGAGTCGCTGCCCCTCCCCCTCCCCGTCCTACCCTCTCGTGTGTCCCAAGTCACCCCCATTCCGTCAGTTGTCCCGGTTGAGGAGTCCGCTGACTCTGGTGGTCCTATGGCGCAGTCCTCGCCGCCTGCCCCTCCTCAGGTGTCTCCTCCTCCGCCGCCTCCGCAGCCGCCGTCGCCACCGCTGTCGCAGCCGTTGTCACCGCCGCCGCCACCACAGCAGCCGTCGCCGCTGCAGTTCGTTGACTCTGGGGGTGCCGGAGTTGGGGTCGGTACTAGTCCTGGGACTCCTGTCGTGGATTGTCCCGGCAGGACTGGGCGTGGTACCGGTGCTCGAGGGGTTCTGAGCTCTGGGGTTGTTCCTTCTTGGGGTGCTGGAGTGGAGTGTTCTGAAGGTAGCCGTCCGGCAGCTTGCGGTCCAGATGTCGGTGTCGCACCGCCACAGAAGCAGTCCCCCCCGGTGTCAGCTCTTCGCCTGCTTGGCCTTCCGTCCCCTGACCCCGCGTCTGTGCCTCCTCCTTCTCGTGTCTACAGCCCTGTGTTCCCTCCTCCGGACTCCTCTCCGTCTCGTTTTCCCCCTCGTTCCCCTCTTTTGTCCCCTCCTCTGTCTCTTGACCCGACGCCACCGTCTCACGTCTGGTCTCGCCGTCCCTCCCGTGCTCGACCTGTCTCCCCTGTCGCACGCTCTCACCCTATGTTGCTTCGTTCCCACGCGTCTCGTCCTCCCCTTCTCCCGTCGCCTCCTCCGTCCTCCCTTGTTGTTGCGCCCCCCCTTCTGTCTGACTTCCTGCGTGCCGCTCGTCCTCTTGTTCCTCGGGTCCTTGCCCCTCTCGTTACCGATCCATCTGTTCAGGTTTCATGACTTGACGTTCTTGTCGCAGCGGTCGTTGACTTCGCCTCTACCCGCCGCCTTGACTACGCCACCGCTCTGGTCTCTGTCCCTGCCTATCCTCCGTCTGTCGGGGGTGCTCCTGCCCTTGGTAGTGACGTCTTGGAGGACCGCCAGTACGAGCTTGCTTTCCTGTCCGAGGCTGCTCCCCATCTCTGTTCCATGCTTTTAGTCCCTGAGGGTGACCCCGACGCTTTCGACATCCCGACCCCTCGCACTTACGCTGAGGCGGTTTCGGGACCCTGGGCCTCTTAGTGGATAGCTGCCATGGAGCAGGAGATGGCATCTTAGAGATCCACCGGCACCTACGTCAACGCAGTTCCCCCACCTGGGGTGAACGTAGTCGATGGCCGCTGGCTCTTCAAGGTGAAGCGCCCTCTTGGAGAGCCGCCTGTGTTCAAGGCGCGCTACGTGGCTAGAGGTTTCAGTTAGCGTGAGGGGGTGGACTTCTTTCAGACCTTTGCTCCGACCCCGAAGATGACTACTCTTCGAGTGCTGCTACACGTAGCAGCTCAGCATGACTACGAGCTGCACTCCCTCGACTTCTCTACTGCTTTTCTTCAGGGCAGTCTACACGAGCAGGTCTACCTGCGCCGCCCTTAGGGTTTCACTGGTACCTTCCCTCCTGGGACCCAATGGCTCCTGCGGTGCCCCGTCTACGGCTTGCGACAGGCTCCTTGTGAGTGGCACGACACGCTGCGTGCTACCCTTGCTGACCTACAGTTCTTTCCGTTCTCTGCAGACCCCTCGCTCTTTGTTCGTGCTGGTCAGACTCCGTTCTACATCCTTGTTTACGTAGACGACCTGGTCTTCGCCACTGCAGACAGGGACGCACTGGCCTCCGTGAAGGCAGAGCTGCTGAAGAGACACACTTGCACTTACCTTGGAGAACGCCGCCATTACCTTGGCTTGCAGATTTCTAGAGACAGAGCAGCGCGCACCATCACCCTCACTCAGTCACACTTGGTGTGCCAGGTCCTTCAGAGGTTCGGCCTTCAGTTCTCCTCTGCACAGCCCACCCCTTTGTCGGTAGACTATAGGCTCTCTGCTCCAGTTCCTGAGGAGTTGGTAGAGCCCAGTGGCCCTTACGCCGAGCTGGTGGGTTGTCTTATGTACCTGATGACTTGCACTCGCCCGGATCTCGCATACCCTCTCAGCATCCTGGCTCGCTTTGTGGCCACAGGCAGACACTGACCTCAGCACTGGTCTGCCGCTAAGAGGGTTTTGCGTTATGTTGCAAGTACATCGGGCATGGGGTTAGTGCTTGGAGGGTGTAGGCCAGTGGTCCTTACTGGGCACACAGACGCTTCGTGGGCAGACGACGCTGAGACTCTTAGGTCCTTACAGGGCTACTACTTTAGCCTTCGTTCATGTGCTCTCTCGTGGAGAGCTACTCGCTCGTTGTCTGTTGCCCAGTCCAGCTGTGAGGCCGAGATCTACGCCGGTGCCATGGCAGCACAGGAGCTCCGCTGGCTGACCTTCTTGCTCACTGACTTAGGTGAGCGGCCTAGCTCTACCATGGTCCTGTATGTTGACAACAGGGCCATGATCCTCCTGTCACAGGAGCCGCGACTCGAGGGCAGAGCGAAGCACATCCAGCTGTGGTACTTCCTCCTGCGTGAGGTGTAGCAGCGTCGCCAGGCCCGCTGAGTACACTTGGCCTCCGGTGCCAACACAGCTGATATCTTTACGAAGGCGGTTGCGTCTAAAGATCATCGGCGGCACTGTATACAGCTTGGTTTTGTTCCTGTAGCTTCTCATTTGCTAGGGCCTTGATTGTGTACAAACCTTTTCTATATATATTACCCTGACTGGGCTTGTGGCCTCTCCCAGTGGCTGGACTAGTAGTGCTGCCCTGGTCTTACTCTTGCCTTGCCTGAATTCCTTTGACTGGTCTTGAGACCCTTGCTTCAAAGTCTGGACTAGTAGTGCCGTGCTGAGCTGCTTCTTCTCCTGTTAGGCACTACCCCTACATAGTCTAGGGGGTGTGTCAAATGTAACTTATGTAGTTGCTGTAGACTTTACTGGATTGTGCCTTAGAGGGTACAACCCCTAGTCTATATACCTCTATATCCTCCTATTCTACTCAACTACTCGTTCTGATGCTGTGCAACTAGTGGTAAGACAGGTGCAGTGCACCAATATCTATGAAACAATTCTAATGATACAGTGCCTGTCGTTCAGTCCCCTGAGGGCCAACAACTGCCGCAACGCATCCTCCAAGCAACCACCTCAGCGCCTCACTGTTACTATCCACACACCACCCTCCAATCTCTGCACAAACGTGCTCCCTTCCTTTCCCACTCCACCCCACTCCACCCCACTCTTCCATCACTCCTCAAGCCCCCTCCTGCTGTGCATGCTCCTGCTGCCACATCACCCCTGCTTTTGAGTTGTTGACTCAGAAGCACCCCTCAAGCCCCCTTCTGCTGCTCATGCTGCCGCATCACCCCTGCTGCCACTGCCGCAGCAGCCGCCTCAATCCGCCCGCGCTCACTCTTAGCTAAGTGCAGGCCGCAGTGCGCGCGGAACTTGTCCGGGTGCCACACCAGCAGCGCCCGCCTCATCTTGCGCTCCGCCTCGGCCCGCCCATCCCCTGCCTCCAGAAAGAGAGGGTTTCCGGGAGGAGGCCAGGGGATATCGGAGAAGGTGAGAGCAAGGGATGAGGTGGCGGGAGGGGCGGGAGGAGGGGATGTAGGGGAGGAAGAAGGAGCGGTGGGGGGTGAGACGGTGTGGAGAGACTGCTGCTGCTGCTGCTGCTGGGTGTGGATTCTGAGGGACGACAAGAGAGCATTCCAGCACCGGTCATATGTACCATAGGTTGACGGCCGCTCACACACACCCGTGCTTCCACTGCGGCTGCTGCTGCCACTGCTGCTGTCATTGCTGCTGCTGCTGCCACTGCGGCTGCTGCTGCCACTGCTGCTAGTGTATGTGTACGCATGGGCATATCTCCATCCTTCCCCGTGCCCATACCCATACCCATGCTCATGCCCATACTCGTACCCATACCCATGACCATACCGGCTCCCAGGCCCCCTCCCCTCAGCTTTATCCTGCGCCCGTCGCATTCGAATCCTCTCCCTCAGCCACTCCTGGTACTCCCTCTCCTCCTCCTCGTCCCCCTCGTCCTCCTCGCCCCCACTCTCATCCCCACCGTAGAAAGACCCCCCAAAATACGCACTGCGGGCATCATACGGCCTACGGCTACTGAACCCTTCTGCCCCTCCCCGTTCGCCAGTTCTCCTCCCTCTCCCTCCACCACCCACCCCCATCCCTCCTCCTCCTCCTCCTCCCCCGCCCCTCATGGCCTGCTCCCATGCTCTTCTCAGCTCTTCCGCCATTCGCCTCTCCCTCTCCCTTTCCATCTCCCTCACTCTCTCCCTCGCCCTCTCTCTCGCTCTCTCCACTGCCTCCTGCCTCATCCTCATCCTCTCCACCCTCTCCCTGTGCCTCCTCCACCGCTGCCACTTGTCAGCTTCCCATTGGCCCGTCGGCCCCCGTCTCCCCCGCAGTCCTCTCCCCCACCTCTGTCTTAGTTTCTCCACCTCATCCTCCTCCTCCTCCCCCTGTTGTTTCGAGATGCACAGAGGGACCGGGGAGGCACGCAGGGGGTGGGGTTGGAGAAGGGAAGTTGAGGGTTAGGGGGTGAGGGGAGTGCGGAAGAAGGGGTATGTATGGTCACGGGCCGAAGGGCATGGTGACGAGGGAATATAATGGCGAATATAATGGCGAACTGTTCTGGAATCCAGAAATGGATGGACATTCTAAATTTGAGGCGCCTCAAAAATACATTCTAAAGAACGGTGAGAAGTGATATCTTAGCCCGAGAGGACAGCAAATGCGTAGAGGGAGCATAAGTGCTCTGACAGCAAAAGATAACACCGGCAGGGCAAAAGGGGCTAGATGGCGTGGCAGGGGTTTCGGGCTCCGGGTTTTGGGTTTTGCGTCAAGAATTACCGGGGGCACGGTATTAAGAGGCGGCGCGTGCAGCAGGGAGGAGAGGAAGAAAGCGGCGTTGCCAACGAACAGCAGGTTCCGTGCTGAAAAACCAATCAGGCTTTTCAGCAACATCACGTGCCACCCCAGCCTCCCCCCCTCCTCCCCTGCTTCTCCCTGCCCTGCTCCCTGCCGCCCCCCTCCCGCTCTTCTTCGTTTGAGTGCCGAATGCGAGTTTCTCTTGGCTCTCCCCCTGCTGCTGCCACTGCTGCTGCTCGTGTCTATATTGCCGCCACCGCTGCTGCTGCTGCTGCTGCTGCTGCTGGTGTTGCTGCTGTTACTGCTGCCATTGCTGCTGCTGCCTCCACTCGTCGCATGGGTGCTATGTCTGGCAGCAAACAAGCCATCATCACCTGCCATTCTGCCTCCTTCCCCCTCTTCCCCTTCCCCCCCTTCCCCTTTCCCCCCTTCTCCCCCCCCCAATCTCCTCTCCCCCCTTCCCCGTCCCCGTCCCCCCTTCCACCCCCCCTTCCACTTCCGCCATATCCCCCTCCCCCACTCCCATCACCACCCCCACCTCCCCTACCTCCCCCACCTCCCCCACCTCCCCCACTCACGTCATCTTCCCCCCCTGCCTCTCTCTCCCCCTCTCGCCTAGCCGCACCATCACCGGACATCACTGCAGCACCAGCAGCACCAGCAGCTCGTGCTCTGATGCACCTAGACTCATCTCCTCCCCAGCCAGCCCAGGCAGCAGCGAAAGTGGCACCAGCAGCCGCAGGATGGGCGACGAAATACACAGCAGCACCACCACCACCACCACCAGCACCAGCAGCACCAGCAGTTCCGCTTTCTCGCCATACCCCAACCCGCACTCCCCAATCTAAACACCCACTAGCCTTCTCCCTCCATGCAACCACCGCGCCACATGTCACTATTCCCCCCACCTGCATTTGCCTCCCCCTCCCCGCGTTTCCGCGCCCCTCATCCCGCGCAGCCCCGCGGAGCGTCCGCCCGCCGGGCTTAACGCGCTGGTCCCCCCGCGGCAGATGCGCGGACGCCGCGGCTGCAGGCGGAGCGGCGCAACCGCAGGCTGTGCGCAAGGGGCAAGCCATCGGGGGAGGGGGGAGCAGTGCGGGGGAAGCGGAAGACGGGAAGCGCGAGGGGGAAAGCGGAGGTCCGATGCGGGGGGAAGCGATCGACTGGGGGCGCCGATACTTGGGAGGAGAGAACGGGTAATGGGGGGCCGATACGTGAGAGATTAGAGAAGCGGCTGGATGCGCGACTGGAGCTGAAGAGAGAACGAGAGATGAGCCGCGCGCGAACCGGGGGGAAGACTTTCCGCTTACACCCAGAGTGGATGTGGAAGCTGTATCTGCTCTCTCCCGCCCTAAAGTGTCCGCCGTTGCGGAAAGAGAGCTGGAGGTGACTTAGCGGGGGGGGGAAATGCGGCGAGCTTAGCTCTTGGTGAGGTGGCAATGGCGGGCGACGGAGCGATCCGCGCCAGCTCCGCTGCGAAAACGAGCGACGAGGAGAATTCGCTCTTGCCGTGGCCGTGGGTTCAGGCTTGCTTGAAGTCCCGCAAACGGCGCTTGCCGCGGCTTGAAATCTGCTTGACAGGTGGGGAGGAATGAAGGGGAGTGGCAGATGGGCATGCCACGTCACGTGCATTCGCGAAACGCGGAGTGTGTTTCGCCTGTGATATTGTTACGAAATGTAAACATATTTAGTGCTGGTGTAATGAAGCGCAAAGAGCGTGCAAAGAGCGTGTGTCGAAGGATTGATTAACGAGGAAACAATACAACTTAGACACATCAAACAGCAGAGGGCATGGATATAGCCAGCATAGGAGCACACGGTCGTGGCTCGGCAGAGCTGTGACGTGTGGTTCGTAAAATGGCGCCGAGCGCCCAGATCCAAGGCATGCAACAGCATGGCGGGCAACAATGTATGCGGTACGTCAAGAGACCACATTTGGGACCGCGATTTGAATTTCGTGACAGATCTGTGCGGCAAACCCGTTGTAGCAGTGTACGCCTCACTGACTGAACCCCGTAATAAGGAAATACCATTTCCTTACAGCTGGTCTACCTTACGTGTGGGCCTAACATTCATGTTGTCGTACATTAATACCATAACGATCAGATCATGTTACAAGACGAAAAATTCGACGTTCTGGTTTCCCGAGTTCATATCTCGCTACTTTCGGCACGTTCGATTTTTCAGGTCTAGCAAAGACGTGATTGGCTCAACCGTGATGTTTGGCACGCAAAACCCAGGGCGGGAATGGATTGCTCTGGACCGAGTCGCATTTCTTGTTGCAAGTTGCAACGACGACATCGAACCGCATTTCCACAAGAAAACCTCCAGGCTGTTTTCCCTAACTACGTTTGTCTCGGGTTATCCAGATGTTTCTGCCAGATGTAATGAAAATCCTTGATTGGTTATCTCCCATTCTTGGTCTCCGTTTTATATACAGTGGTTCTAAGCTCATTCTTGTACAGAGGTAAAGAACCTTTCCAGGGCACCCTGCCAAGCGTCGAGAAAAAAATGTGTAAAAATGGCGCGAATTCGTTTCAACACATTTGTGCTCATGGTTTCACCTTGGCCCCGTTTCGTGCTCGAAGGTGCTAGCCACCATCGCATCGTGCCCCAGCAGCAACTGCCACCACTGCGACTTCATGACAACATAATTTCACTCTTACTTCCTGGACGGGCCATGCTTTGCGGGGTGCGACCAGATCCTCCTCTTCGTTCCAGGAACTGCACTCAAATGCAGGTTGTGCTTTCTCGAAAGACAAATAATATACATCTGCTGGCATCTGCGTGCTGATTGCCTGACTTCGACGACCAGCCGCCCCGTTTCACCTAGCCCAGTGCGGCACATTTGAAAGCGCGCAGGGCGAGGATTAGGACGGCGTACGTCACAGCAACGCAGTGAAAGAAGCTAGCATACCGATTCTCAGCATGGGTGTCATCCAGCGCGATTCCCGGGGAAGATGCTTCGCCAGCAGGCGGAGCTCCACACATCAACCCAAGGCTACCCAACAACCTATGGCTGCTCGCCACAGCCACGACCTAATACTCCAGTCGCGGCCTTTCGCGAAAACTACTGTTTCTCGCCTGGTGTTACTCGCGCTGGTGCTCGTCGCATCCGTTGCGACGTGCCGTAGCGATCCCGCGCTTCCGCAACCAATCAGCCGTGAGTCTCATCGATATGCCGTGCGCGCTGACCCCTGCAGTGAGACCTTTATTAGAGCAGACACGTGGACAAGGTCGTCCCGTTAGCGCACCTCTCGTTTTGGCGGCAGTTCGATTGGTCTCGGTTGCGCAAACGCGCCAAGAGAGCTAGTAACCTTTGTCCCCCACGTTCGTGGGGTTTTCCGCAACGCCATGCAACCGTTTGCGAGCATTATCCGTACCGTCTCCTCATCGTTCTTTTCCTTCTCCTAATGCCTCTCAACCCCTTCCTTCCCTCTTCCCGTCTCCCTTGCGCTCGTTCCACGGACGCGCTTCCGACTCTGGACTGCAGCCAGATGTGACTATAGCGATGGTGAGTGGACGTACTCTAAGACGAACCCTCGATACAAGGGCTGTCCGTACATCCGCGAGATATTCGATTGCAGGGACAACGGGCGGGGGGACCGCCGGTGGGAGCAGCAGAAGTGGTCACCCCGTTATTGCGCAATCAAGTACTTTAACGCGGCCAGATTCCAGAAACTCATGGCTAACAAGGTACGCAAGAGGGTATCGGTAGAGGGTGGCGCAACGCGCCGCTACTGGGAGCATGGCGGGTTTTGGGGCAAGGGAAGGAGCGGGGGAGGTGAGGGAGGGTGGGTGGGCGGGGGGGTTGGGTGGGGGGGGTTGTGGGGGAGGGCAGCATTGAAGCTAGTGGGAGTGTTATGCCAAAGAGGATGGTGATGGTGTCAGTTGGCGTTTTCTCATGCCCCTGTCCCTTGCCTGTGTCTGTTCCTGCGTGCGTGATGTGCAGACAATCGCGTTTATAGGCGACTCGCTGATGACCAACATGTGGGAGAGCTTCTCGTGCATGTTATGGGGATACAACATCAAGATGCTGGCAAGTGCTTTAATGAACTACCAATTGCAACTTGCTCCCTGAACTCCCCTATCCCATCCGACACCGCTGCACTCGTCCTTCTCATCCCAATCCATAATATACTCGCCTTAGCGACCCTCCAACACAGCAGCTCCCCCGCTTCTGCTCCAATACCAGCAGTTCCAACCTTCCCCTTCCCCCCTACTCAAACCCCCCTCCCCTCTCCCCCCACCCCCCCTCCCCCCCACAACCCCCTTCATTCCCCACCTTCCCCCAACTGCCTGCAGCCCGTGCAGCAGCGACTGGGTCCCGAGGCGAAATTCACAGGCTTCCACCTGCCCAAATCCAACACCACCATTCTGTACCGCTTCTCGTCGTACCTCACCAAGGCGTCGAGAAGCCAGGGGCGGGACCCCCTGCACGGAGGAAGACACGGCTACACTGTGGACGTCGATATAGTGGACCCCGTTTTAAGCGCAGCAGCGGCTAAAGTGGATGCAGTGGTGCTGACGAGCGGGATGTGGTGGCAGGCGAACGTTCCTGGAAGGAAGGTTTCCAACATTTATAAGATGCAGGGCGTGGATACGCTTTACTCGGATTTAAACGCGTACAAAAAGTCACTGTACACTGTGCGAGAGTTGCTGCTGAAATACAAGTACGTACAGTGTTTGCTGGAGCTGGTAAGGGGAGGGGAAGGGGGGGGTCAGTGCTTTTAGACGCACAATTTCCATATACTAGGTTTCCAGCATTCGGCCAGTTGCCAGGCCAAGATAAGTTCCCCCTTGGTTTCAATCTCAGTGACTTTTTATTTCCTCCAGTTGCCTTCGCCCCATCCAACCATCCGCTGCTATCTTTCCCTGTAGTTTATCTCACACTTCCTTCACACTTCGCCCCGTCAATCCCTCTCTAAACCCTTCCCCACCCCCCCCACAGGTCAAGCCTCCTCTCCTACTACATCTCCTTCTCCCCCCAGCATAAGTTCGAGCCCCGATTCGCAACCCTGCCCGGCACATGCGGTTACAGCCTCCCCCTCAATCAATCGGCAGCGAAGGCCTTCCTGAGCAACCAGGCTGCCAGTGCTGCCACGTATACAGCAGCACAGCGCCAGGTCTTCACTTCCCCAACTCCTGTCAGACTTCTAGACATTACTGCTATTTCAGCAGCCAGGCCTGATGGGCACGTGGGGCAGTACGGGGTGAAAGGGGGGCTGCCAGTGGGGCAAGTAGCGGAGAGAGGTGATTGCAGGCACTGGTGCTTGCCGGGGGTTCCTGACTCCTGGGTGGATTTGATGCACACAGCTTGGGAGAATGAGCCTGCCCTTGTAGAACCTGCTAACAGAAGGGCGTAGAGTAGGCTTAGATGATAGGTTTGGTACATAGCTATAGATAGTGTGACATTATTTCCTAACCCACACTGTGATGTTTATAGTTTTGAGCATAGTTTAATGTGCATGACTGTTTGAATCAAACAGAATTAAGCTCTCTGTCGTTTGGGGAAAGTGTGTCTTGATTCATCACTTGGTTCTTGGGGATTGCGTGTGTTGTATAATGAACGATGAAGTGGGTGCTCAAGGAAAAAGCGAAGTGTATCTCTGAGGTGAACTTTTCAGAGTGTTGTGCCTATTGGGTATGCGGTTCGTACCCAAAAAAAATTCTGGCGCGAGACTCAACGACTAGATTGAATTCAGGGCTTGGACGTGGCACGGAAACCGACTTTGCCTCGTCAACAGGTCCGGCCATCCGAACCGAGGTATGGCGTGGCCAGGTTCGTGCGGAATTCTCACTCCACACACTGGGAGGAATTTTCTTAATTTTGACTGGCGGGAGGCCATTGCCGCTCAAGAGCATTCTCCAGTCCCGACTCCCGACCAAGCCCACCAGGCCAGTCAGACTCCGTGCACCCGCACCGGCACCAGACTCTCCCTTCCCTGCCTCCTCCTACAGCTCACGGTTTCAGCCCGAGGGAGAAATCCCCTCGCGATGTGTAAAACTGGTGTGTGGATGGTGTTGAACCGACCAGCATTTTCTCACCCCGGTTTCTGCGGAAGGTCGGTCCGAGCCAGTGGTTGTGGTTGCAGCAGTCCAGCCCTTGATGGCGGCGAAGGTACCAACTGAGTAGGACCCACCATGAACAAGTTCGGCCGGTGGTTGGCTTCTAGTGATGGAGTTAAAAACGGCGGGGTCTAGAAATTGGTAATGACGCTCAGTTGTCCAGATAGTACCGTACATCGCATGGGTGATGGATGGTACACTAGGGCTCAGGACGATTCAGAGATTGGTGGCAGGGAGCGCGAGTTTTTTTCCCGAGCATCACCGCCTAATTTACTGTAGACATTTTCTTAGGCCTTACGAGTCATAACAGACATCACCGCCCAATCCAGACCTGTAGAAACGCCAACTAGACACGAGGAGGTTGCCTTGAGAGCGGTTGATTGGAGCCGATTAGGAAGCGAACTGCTGGTGAGAGTCTAATGCTTCAACCCGAAATTGCCCGTGGGAGACGCGAAACTCCTCACTTCAAACTTCAGAATATTATCTCCTAAGAGCATTACGCTAGTCTGCTACGAGGTCGCGGTCACGGATGTATGGGGATTCGCCTCGCGCTTAGTGTAGCGCTCTCGGCTGTCCTCCTTATCTCGAGCTTCGAATCAGGGAACACGTCAGCCTCGCATGGCTACACACGCAGCAGGTCAAAGTCCGTCCTTAGAGGTCAGCGGCAGCAGCGGAATCTGCAGGGGTCGAACGACGAAGCGACGAGCGAGTGCGGGAACATGCGGGTGTGCGAGAATCGCACGGCTCTGGACGACTATGTCGCACGGCCGGACGACAGTTACAAGTACGATGTTCGCTCACGGCGGTTTCCAGAGTCGAATCCATTTCCATCTCAATATATATCCACCGTTTCTGCTCCAACCCCTTTCGGAGAGTGTGGTTAATACAATAGCGTATGCAGAAAGGTTCATGATACTCATGCGTCATCACTGGCGTATTCTTTCTCCCCCTCTCTCCTCTCCCCTTCACATTTCATGTTTCCGCAACACCCACCCACCCACCCACTCTCTCTCATCCGCTTACGCCCACCCTGTCATCCTCCTCCGTCCCTCCCTTTACGCCATTCACCATCGCATTGTCCCCATCGTTGACCATGTCGTTGACCGTATCATTGCCGACTCCAGCTGGTACGACACGGGGTTCCGCATCCAGGGGAGGGTGGACGCGCGGTACGGCGGCGGTGAGTGGACGGGTATCGTGCTCAACATGACGTCGCAGCGCTGGCTCAACGCCTCCGTCACCTCCTGCTCCCTCTGGTGGCACTACCTGCTACTCGTGGTGCGTCTTAGCAGTGACTTTTCAGTCGGCTCACAAGTCGCCTCGTTACAATGTCACTCGACACAATTTCCTTTGAGTCGACTCAAAAGTCAGCGCTGGCTCAACGCCTCCGTCACCTCCTGCAGCCTCTGGTGGCACTACCTGCTGCCCGTGGTGCGTCTTAGAGGCACTACCTGCTGCCCGTGGTGCGTCTTAGAGGCACTACCTGCTGCTCGTGGTGCGTCATAGAGGCACGACCTGCTGCTCGTGGTGCGTCATAGAGGCACTACCTGCTGCTCGTGGTGCGTCTTAGAGGCACTACCTGCTGCCCGTAGTGCGTCATAGAGGCACTACCTGCTGCCCGTGGTGCGTCTTAAAGGCACTACCTGCTGCCCGTGGTGCGTCTTAGAGGCACTACCTGCTGCTCGTGGTGCGTCATAGAGGCACTACCTGCTGCTCGTGCTGCGTTTGGTTCCCCAAATTTTTCCACGCGCCTCTAAACGCCCTTCCTCCACGTGGTACCGTTTGGCACCGCATTGATTTCCCCATCCAGCCACCGCCTCCTCCTCCCCAGTTTAGCGTCTGAGTCTCTCACCCATCGCTCGCACTCTGATCATGCTCTTCCACGCCCCCTCCTTTCCTCCCCCCTTCTCCACCTCTCCTCAACCACCGCTTTGCCTGACTCCCTCCTCCCCAGGTCCCCAGGCGCATGCCTAATGCGTCCCGGGGCACGGCGCTGCTGCTGCTGGCGGCGGGGCGGAACTCGGGGACGCTGTGGGGAGGGGGGGGAAACGCGGACGGTGCCGCGGACGCGGATGCGGAGGGAGAAGACAACCGGGTTTGGACTGTTGGGGCCGGCGGGGGTGGGGGGAGCGGGGGAGGCGCTGGGAACGGATCGGAGGCGGAGACAGGGACGGATGGGACGGGTGATGGAGATGGGACGGGGCCGGGAACTGCTGAGCCAGAAGGTGCGGGTCCGAAGATAGTGGATGCCGGTTTGCTGCCGCAAGCCAGCGACAGCTTCGTCATCATTGCCGCCTCGTAAGTTACACTCCCCCTCCTCCCCTCCCCCCTCCTCTTCCTCCCCTTCCCAACACCCCCACAACTCTCCTTCCCTTCCTTTCCGTATTTTGCTTCTTACCGTCCACCAACTCCCCTCCCCGTCCCCCTTTCCTGCCACCCAGCCACTCCTAGAACTGAATTCGCCCCGACCACGCCCTCGCACACAATCTCAGCCCCTTTTTGCTCAAATTCCCTTCTTTCATCTGTCTCGGATCCGCTTGTTCCATCGTGTCCGGTCGGGTCTCATCTGTGTCCCCACCAGCCTGGCGGTGCAGGCGGGCACGCGAGGCGCTGTGCTCTTCCAGGTGTTCAACCAGCCCTGCACCTCACCAGAGGCTCCGCTGCTCCCCCATGCCTGCACCCAATCTCAGGCCCCTTGCTTCTCGGATCCCCTTATTTCCTCCGTCCGTTCTCTCCTGTCCGGTCCGGGTCTCGTCTCGTCTCTATCCCCCCGGTCCAGGCTGGCGGTGCAGGCGGGCACGCTAGGCGCTGTGCTGTTCCAGGTGCCCAACCAGCCGTGCAACTTCCGCACCAATGGCAGCGCCGACGCGTCTTCCGTCTCAGAGGACCCGCTCGTTGCAGGTACGCTGGGGCCGTCTTTGAGCTGACTCAAAAATCACACACGGTACACTGGGGGCTGGGGGTGGGGGCTGGGTAGTGGGCCTGGGGGTGTTTACGTACACAGGCATGCCGTGTCAAGCAGATGGATTGCACAGTAATAAATTGGCGGCATGGTGTCAGAGTGGGCAATCTTGAAGCGCTGGAGAATGGTGTCTACCGTGTGTTGGCAGACTGTGGAGCACCGTGGTTGCAGTTGAGGGTGGTAGACCGGCCATTGAATGCTGTCTGACTGTCCTTCAGCCTCCTTGTGGACCATGCCTCTGGCCACGCCGCTCGCTTTCTGCGCTTGCGGACAGCTTGCCTTGCGCTCTTGCACACGCTTTACCCCTTTTCACACGTGCCACCTTCTCCCCCCCCCGCCCCCCACGTACCTACCACGCCCCTTGCAAACAGCCACGTGGCGTCAGTTCCTGCTGAACCCGTCGGACTCAGACTGGCCCGCGACTCTCCCCATGGCCAAGGCGGCAGTCAGGGCCATGGATGCCGTTCAAGAAGCCGTCCCGGTCTTCTTCCCCTCCCTTGCTGTGAGTGCCGCCGCCCTGCATGCATCGCCGCTCCCGTTGCTGTGAGTGGGTGAGTTGGACTGTCGACCTCGCGTTCTTTCCTGTCTCTCGCTGTACGCCTCCCTTTATGGTACCTTCAGCCTTGCTCTTCCGCCTCTCCTTGTAAGCCTTCTGTCGCACTGCTTTCCTCTCTGTTTGAGTTCTGTGTACACTACTTTCCCGGTTAGGTTTCTTCGCCTACATTGTTGACTTGTTTCTGTGTTATAGGAACTCCTAGAATTTATTGTACGAATGTTAATAGCGATGCACGTGTAATCGGTTCCCCTGCAAGCCACAACCACTCACACCGGCGTCTAGCCCTTCCATCCAACCTCAACCCATCCGCGCGTCCCGTCTGTCTGTTCCCCCAACGCCCTTCCTCCCCCCCATCTTTCAAACCCCAGGTGCACCGCTTTGCGGTGGCAGGAGTGAGCAAGAGAGGACTAGCCGCGTGGGCTGTAGCAGCAGTAGATAAGGTACAGGGCGGGGGGGGGCAGTGGGGCAGTGGGGCAGGGAGGAAGGGGAACGAAGGGGGCATAACGAGAGAGAAAGAGAAGAACTACTAACTAGCCTTACAGGCTCTGGAGAAAGGGACGCCTGAGGGGAAGGAAGGGGGGGAGACCAGGGGGGGAGGGGGTGAGAGGGGTTTAGAGGGGAGGTATGTGCTCTGCTGACTCAAGAGACAGCTCGAGACCACTGGGGGATGATGTGAGAAGAGGCTTAGAGGGGAGGTCTGTGCTCTGGGATCGTTGCAGCCCGACGGGGGGCCTACGGGGACGTCTGCCCTCTGGCTTTGGTCTATAGCAACAATGCCAAGGGCGTGAGTTGATTATCCATGCTGCGGTTGTTGTACCTAGGAGAGGCTTTCTCTTTCCTATAGCCGACCTGTGCCGTGCTGGCAGGGTTTTTTCTCCCTGCCTTTCTTTGGGACCGACCCAAAGGTTGTCCAAGCTTCACTCTGCTGTTTCCGGATTGTCTCCTACTTTCCCCTCACTCCCTGCACCATTCTTTCTCGTTAATTTTCACCACTCACCCTTCGCTCCGCCCCTTCTACCCCTCCCCCAATCTCCAGCGGGCGGTGGCGCTGTTGCCAGTGGGAGCGGGTGCAATCAACGTGGTTACCTCATCAAAACGGAACCTTCTCACATTGCTCCCTTTTGTACCCCCTTCCCCCTCCTCCTACTCCTCGATCCGCAGCGCGTGGTGGCGCTAATGCCAGTGGGGGCGGGCGCAATCAACTTCGTTTCCTCCTTAAAGCACTACTACCAGTCGCTGGGCGGCTGGCCAATCACGTTCAAGCCCTACGTGCTGAATGACGTCACCAGGAACATGCTCAAGCCCAACATGCAGAAACTCGTCGTGAGTGTGCTCCTGCAGAAAGTCGAGACGTCTCAAAATCAAGGCGGCTTGGCGTACACGGCACACCTCAGGGTGTGGTGAAGAGAGTGGTTCTTAGTCATGAGTGGGGGGGGCACACGTGAGTGAAGAGGTGAAGAGGTGTGAGTGGTGAAAAGGTTACCACCATGGTCCACATGGTGGCACCCGCGTGAGGAGTCTATTTTTGAGGCGCCTCAAAAATAGGTTACCACCATGGTCCATGTGGTGGCCCCCGCCACGTGCTCCTTCCCGAGCATGCATGCTCACGTGGCATCCATCCCTGTCATCTCCAGCAAAGCAACTCCCCTCGTTCCCCTCCTGCTCTGCTCCTGTCTCCTGCCTCTGCTGACTGTCGCCAGTGTCTCTCCCCTGTACCTACCGATTGTCATTGCTTCGCTATCAGTCTGTCATCACCAAGAATGAGCTCTCTGGCCCATCACGTCGTTGCATGGAGAGACTCTTACTTACTTACTGCCATCATTTCTCCCACCTCCCTCCTCCTCCTCAACCCTCCCCCTCCATTCGGTTCCCTACACCAATTCCTCTCCTCCCCACTCCCCCCCCCCACTCACATCTCCGCCCCTGCCCACCACGACAACCTCAGGCCATCATTGACCCGTACACGTACCGGCGGCGCTACAGCATGCCCAAGCTGCTGCTGTTTGGCGCCAACGACGAGTTCTTCATGATCGATGACACGTGAGTCACAGGCCATGGGGCATGGCCCATTGGTCATGTGCCATGCACCATGCACCATGCACTACGCATGCACTATGTACCATCCACCATGCACCATGTGCCATGCGACTGGTAGTCAGCTCACCACCAACTCCCTGCTGTGTTCCCCCTTGCCGCGTGCACCCCTTGCAGGTACTACTTCTACTGGGACATGCCCGACCCCAAGCTCCTGCGAACCATGCATCATGCACCATGCATCACGTGCACCATGCAAGCAGCTCACCCACTCCCTGCTGCTCCCCCCTGCCATGCGGTACCGTGCCCCCCTGCAGGTACTACTTCTACTGGGACATGCCCGACCCCAAGTTCCTGCGCATCATGCCCAACCAGGAGCACATGCTGCTGCAGAACAACCCAGAGGTGAGGGGAGTGCGGCAGAGACACCAGGGAACAAGGCAAAAATTGGAGCAGAATGCCTCTCTTATAACAAATGCCTCTCTTTCCTCCCATTCACAACGCCATCGCTTCCCTCCTAAACCCACGACACCCCCCTTCTCGATCTGTCCTTCTCAACGCCCCCATTCTCCCTCCCTTTCTCCCGTTTCTACTTCACCCACGTAACACTTTCTCTGCCATAGGATTGCCCAATCCACCATTTCGTTTCCTTACCAGCATCCCTTTCGTCTCACTCTCACCTCTCACGTTATCTTCCCCACTCTTCCTTGCTTTCCCTTAATCGCTTTCCTCTTTCTCGCTACCCTTTCACATCAGGTCATTCTATCCGGCATCCCTTTCTACACCTCTATCGTCCTCTCCACCGCTCTCCCTCCTTCTCCACCCCCTCCTTCACTCTCCTCCTCCTCCTCTTCCTCCTCACCATCATCACCACCATCACCACCATTGGCAGCAGCAGCATCAACAGCAGAAACAGCAGCAGCAGCCGCCGCCAGCACGGGTCGCCCTCTCAGCGTCCGCTCGCGGGGCTCCCAGCCGGACTGGCCGCAGCTGACGTGGTTGCTGGACAGGCATGGCGCTGCTGTGGAGGGCACCACTGACCGCCGACCCTCCAAGATCAGAGCGTGGTGAGTGTGTGAGTGAGTGTGTGAGTGAGTGAGTGAGTGAGTGAGTGTGTGATTGAGTGCGTGTGTGAGTGGGTGTGTGAGGGAGACCACGAGTCTGTTGCTAACCCTAGACTCCGGAATAGATGGACAGGCATGGCGCTGCTTTGGAGGGCACCATGGAGCGTCGACCCGCCAACAACAGAGCGGGGGAGAGAGCGGTGAGTGGTTGGTTTCAGGAGAGAGAGTGGGGGAGGCCACTAGTCTGTTCTAAGCCTGTCCTAGAACTAGAACCTAGGTGCCAGAATCGACTGACAGGTATGGCGGTGCTGAAGAGGTCAGGGCACCACGGACCGACGACCCACCAACCAACTGCCCCCGACGTACTCTCGTTCTGCCTGTCGCTTAGTGGCGGGGACTTCCAGTGGCCGTGCGCTGCTGCGCCCATCCCTACCTCCCTGCCTTCCCAATCCTGAAGAGCCCATCCTCTCTCCTCCCCCCCCCCTCTCCCCCCCACCCTCTCCTACCCCCTGCACACCACTTGCCCCCAGGTACTCTCTCGTTCCACCCCTCGCTTTGTGTGCAGAACTTTCCAGTGTATCGTGCAATGCTGTTCCAATCCCTACCTGCCTACCCTCCCAACCCTCAAGAAGCCTTCCTTCCACACCCCTCCCTCCCTCCCTTGGCCCAACCTCCCGCCCACTGCACCCCAGGTACTCTCGCTCCCCCCGTCGCTTTGTGCGCAGGGACTTCCGGTGGATCGTGGGGGGGGCATCCGCCACCTGGTATGTTGGGGGAGAGGGGGGACGGGGGAGAGGGAGGGTGGGGGGAGGGGGTGGGGGGAGGAGGGGCATCGCATGTGCTGACTGACTATGAGCCGACATTCCCTACAGTCATTTAATTTCTTCCAGCGAATTGAATAGAAGGTGGTGCGACTGATTGTAAGGGCAGGTGCAAGAGGGGATTCAATGCCACGTCGCTCTTCAAGGGTAGACACAGTGCCCCTTGTGCCGCAACGAGAGGCATAATGTCACGTCAGGAAGCGCCATTGGTGATTTTTTAGTCCCCCTTGACCAAAATTATCCCCTTCATTTCTGCAGAGGGAGGTGTCATGTCACGTCAGGAAGTAAAGCATCATTGTGACTGTAGTAAAGCATCATTGTGACTGTAGTAAAGCATCATTGTGACTGAAGTAAAGCATCACTGTGTCTGTATTAAAGCACCAGGGAAACCCACTGTTGAGACTGTGGTAAACTGCTGTTTCCACCAGTAGCACCACTTGCCCCTCCACTCTTCTGCTGTTTCTTTTGCCCACCTATCCTGTACTCCAGCCACTGCACAGTTCTGGTTTGTGAGGCACTCAAAGCGTCTCCGCCCTCACTCTCTTGCTATCCTGTCCCTATCACCTCCCCCCCCCTCATATCAACCCTTCTCTTCCTCACTCGCCAGCTTCCTCATGGTGACTCAGGTGCCTCTGCTGGGCGACCTGTGCCCACAGCCAGTGCTCTTCCAGCCAGCTGTAACTGCCCAACAAAGCCTCCTGTCCTGTCACACCCATCTCCCCTTTCCCCACCCCCCGTTGCACAGCATGCTCACCAAACCTCCGCCCCCCCACCCGTACCTCCCCACGACCACCTCACCCCGTCTCCCTTGCAGCTTCCTCAAGGTGACTCAGGTGCCACTGCTGGGCGACCTGTGCCCGCAGGCAGTGCTCTTCCAGCCGGTGCCAGTGCGCCCCTCCTACAGCGCGCTCGACCGCCTCTGGCACTTCCGCGCCCGCATCACTAACTTCCCCAAGGTACGGGTTCGTGCCTAACGTCTGGGCTCTTGGCTCCTGCCAAGGTTTGGGCTCTTGCCCAAGGTACGGGGTATGGGGTCAAAGGGATGGGTCCAAAAGAAAGGCCCAAGCCCGAGGTACACTGTTCTTCAGACCAACACAGGTGTGCAAGAGATCAACTTTTACCATACGAGATGGCACGGGCAGAATCCTTTCCCATAGCAAGGCACCTTACTGCTCCTTCGAGGAGCCCACCCCACCACCACCCTGTGTCATCCAATCCGACCCCCTTCTCCTCTGGTTCCCTTATGCTGCTCCTCCTTCCCTACCTTTAGGTCGGCTACAAAGCTATTTTTGTGGAGGTGGAATTCCCACCGTTACGACCGTCTGGTAACAATATAACCCTGACAACCGAGGCGCTAGTGGTGCCTAACAGCTTCCCTTTCTCCTACTGCACTGGGCCAAAGTGTGACACACGCCTCGTGTAGGCTGACGTGTGCTGTACTGTACACTGCATCTTAGTGGATATATCTCGTATTCGTGTATGGCTGCAATTCATGTATGCCTTCATAAAAAAAAACTGTAATACCAGGTGTGCGCAAGCAATTATCAATAAATGTGCACCTACAAAAGAAGCTAATAGGAATGCTACTACGAATACCAATACTGACTGCACTAAATATCAAAAAGAAAATGATTGAACTAGAATGTGTGTGTACAAGGATATATAGACTAGGGTGTTGTACCCTTTAAGGCACAATCCAATATAATCTATTGTAACAACCTAAGTTATATTTGACACACCCCCTAGACTATATAGGGGCAACGCCTAACAAGGGAAGAAGCTGTTAACGTAGAAACGAATGATTACTAGAGGTGGAAACCTAGAACAAATACTAGTTGGTTGTACTCACTAGAAGCATACCTCAGTCTAGCCTATAACTTCTACATAGATAATATGTATAAGTTGACACACCCCCTAGGCTAGACAAGGGGTGAAACTAAACAAGAAGCAAACAGCTCAGGGCGGCACTACTAGTCCAACCACTGAGGCAGGGGTCTGGAGACCAGTCAGCAAGAATACAACCAAAACTGAAGCAAGCCAGGGTGGCACTACTAGTCCAGCCACTGGAGGTAAGGCCACAAGGCCAGTCTGACAAGCATATATAATAGAGAGTACACAATCAGGATCCTAACAGGGGAGCAGCTATAGGAACAAGACCAAGCTGTACACAGTGCCGCTGATGATCTTTAGGCGCAAGCGCCTTAGTAAAGATATCAGCTGTGTTGGCACCTGAGGCCAAGTGAACTACGCGGGCCTGGCGGCGCTGCTGTAGCTCGCGCAGGAGGAAGTACCGCAGCTGGATATGCTTCGCTCTGCCCTCAAGCCGAGGCTCCTGACACAGGAGTATCATGGCCCTGTTGTCAGCGTACAGGACCGGGGCAGAGCTAGGCCGCTCACCTAAGTCTGTGAGCAAGAAGGTCAGCCAGCGGAGCTCCTGTGCCGCCATGGCACCAGCGTAGATCTCAGCCTCACAGCTAGACTGAGCCACAGACGACGAGCGAGTGGATCTCCAAGAGATAGCACCCGAACCAAGGCTGAAACAGTAGCCCTGCGACGACCTGAGCGTCTCAGCGTCGTCTGCCCAAGAAGCGTCTGTGTGCCCAGTAAGGACCACTGGCCTGCGTCCTCCTAGCACTAACCCCATGCCTGATGTACTAGCAAGATAACGCAAAACCCTCTTAGCGGCAGACCAGTGCTGAGGTCGGTGTCTGCCTGTAGCCACAAAGCGAGCCAGGATGCTGAGAGGGTATGCGAGATCTGGGCGAGTGCAAGTCATCAGGTACATGAGGCAACCCACCAGCTCTGCGTAGGGGCCACTGGGCTCTACTGGCTCCTCAGGAACGGGAGCAGAGAGCCCATGGTCTACGGGTAGAGGTGTGGGCTGTGCGGAGGAGAACTGAAGACCGAACCTCTGAAGGACCTGACGCACCAAGTGTGACTGGGTCAGAGTGATGGTGCGTGCTGCTCTGTCCCTAGAGATCTGCAGGCCAAGATAGCGACGCAGCTCTCCAAGGTCAGTGCAGGTGTGTCTCTTCAGCAGCTCAGCCTTCACAGAGGCCAGTGCGTCCCTGTCAGGAGTAGCGAAGACCAGGTCGTCTACGTAGACAAGGATGTAGAACGGAGTCTGGCCGGAACGCACAAACAGTGAAGGGTCAGCAGAGGACGGAAAGAACTGCAGGTCTGCTAACGTGGCACGTAGCGTGTCGTGCCACTCGCGGGGAGCCTGACGCAGGCCGTAGACCGGGCGCCTGAGAAGCCACTGGGTCCCAGGAGGGAAGGTACCAGTGAAGCCCTGTGGTCGGCGCAGGTAGACCTGCTCGTGTAGGCTGCCCTGAAGAAAGGCAGTAGAGAAGTCGAGGGAGTGAAGCTCGTAGTCACGCTGTGCTGCTACGTGTAGCAGCGCCCGAAGAGTGGTCATCTTCGGGGTCGGGGCGAAGGTCTGGAAGAAGTCAACCCCCTCGCGCTGACTGAAACCTCTGGCCACGTAGCGCGCCTTGAAGACAGGCGGCTCTCCTGGGGGGCGCTTCACCTTGAAGAGCCACCGACCATCGACTACGTTCACCCCAGGCGGGGGAACTGCGTCGACGTAAGTGCCGGTGGATCTCCAAGATGCCATCTCCTGCTCCATGGCAGCTATCCACTGAGAGGCCCAAGGTCCCGAGGTGGCCTCAGCGTAGGTGCGAGGGGTCGGGATGTCGAAGGCGTCTGGGTCACCCTCAGGGACTAACAGCATGGAGCAGAGATGGGGAGCAGCCTCGGAAAGGAAAGCCAGCTCGTACTGCCTGTCCTCTAGGACGTCACTGCCAAGGGCAGGAGCACCCCCGACGGACAGAGGACGGGCAGGGTCAGAGACCAGAGCGGTAGCGTAGTCAAGGCGGCGGGTAGAAGCGAAGTCAGCGACAGCAGCGACAAGCGCGTCAAGGCGCGAGACAGGAACAGCAGGGTCGGTAACAAGAGAGGCAAGGACCCGAGGGACAAGGGGACGAGCAGCACGGAGGTAGTCAGAGAACGGAGGAGGTGCAACAGCAAGGGACGAGGGAGGAGGGGACGGGAGGAGGGGAGGACGAGACGAGTGGGAACGGAGCAACATAGGGTGGGTGGGCAGGACAGGAGAGACGGGACGAGCACGGGAGGGACGGCGAGCCCAAACGTGAGACGGAGGGGTAGGGTCAGGGGACAGCGGAGGAGACACAGGAGGGGAACGAGGAGGAAGACGGGCCGGAGACGAGTCTGGCGGCGGGAACACAGGACCGTAGACAGGGAGGTCAGGAGGCGGTGGGGGAGACACCGGCGCGCGGTCCGGGGAGGGAAGGCCGAGCAGGCGGAGAGCGGAAACCGGCGGCGACGGCTGCTGCGGCGGCGACGACGGCTGGGCCGGAACTCTCGGACCAGCAGAGGCAGAACGACCGTCGGCAGAACACTCAATAGCAGCACCCCCAGAACCAACACCCCCAGAGCGAGAACCCCCTCCAACACCAGCGGCACCCCCAGAAGCCGCAGGACGAACACCCTCCTCCACACCAGCACCCCCAGGGGCCGAGAGCAGCGGCGGCAGTGGCGGCAACGGCTGCGGCGGCGGCGACAGCGGCGACGGCTGCGGCAGCGACAGCGGCGGCGGCGGCGACGAAAGCGGCGACGGCTGCGGCGGCGACGGCGACGGCGGCGGCAGCGGGGTCGGCGACTGCGACAGTGGGGGCGGAGGCACCGGGGAAGGGGACGCGGCAAGGACGGACCGGGGTACCACCAGAGTCAGCAGACTCCTCAACGGGGACAACCGACGGGAGGGGAGTGACGTGGGAGACACCAGACGGGGCAGGACGAGGCGGGAGAGGGGCAGGGGCTACCGGGGGAGAGGGAGCAAGGAAAAGGGGGGGGGCAACTGGGAGACCTCGGTGAGGGAAGCGGCGGTAGAAGGAGACGGACTCATCAAAGGTGACGTCACGAGAGTGGAGGAAGCGGTGAGACGGCGGGTGGTAGAAAAGCCAGTCAGACGAGTCCAGGGGGAAACCGAGGAAGACACAGGGGACAGTGCGGGCAGTGAGCTTGTCCGTGCCAGAGGCACGAACGTGAGCAAGGCAGCCCCAGACGTGGAACGCAGACGCGTCACCGGGGGACCCGGTCCAAAGGAGGGTCGGCGAAACCTGCGGCCGCTGGGAGCGTGGCCACAGGTTAAGCTGGTGAGCCGCGTAGCGAACAGCGAACGGCCACAGAAAATGGGGGGCATCGGCATGGATCATGGAGGTACGGGCGACCTCCATGACCAAGCCGATGCGGCGCTCAGCAACCCCATTCTGCTGTGGCGAGTCTGGCAACGTGTACGACTGGGTGATGCCCTCCGCACGACAGAACTGTCCAAGCCGACCAGAGGCGAACTCGCCGCCACGGTCGGAGTGGAGACACAACACGGGGAGACCGCGGTGGAGACGCGCAGCCACAACCCACGGGAGAAGAACGTCGGGCACGTCGGCCTTCCGCTCCAGGGGAAACACCGTGGTGTAGCGCGTGTAGTCGTCGACAAGCACAAGGAAGTAGCGCTCACCGCGCGGTCCGGGGACGGGGCAGGGCCCCAAACGTCCAAGTGCAGGGTCTGAAGGGGGGCAGTAGCAGGACGCAGCGAGGAGGAGTGAGGAGCACGGCGGAGCCGACCCTCGACGCAAGGCGTGCACGGTGACGCAGTCGAGGGAGGAAGGGCAGGGAGCGACGCGGGGAGACCTAAGACAAGACCGTGCTGGGACATGTGACGCAGACGCGGGAGAGCAGGGTGACCTAAGCGGTGGTGCCAGAGAAGGGAGGGGTGAGTGAGGGACCGACACGAGCAAGCTGCAGCGACCTGGGAGGACGCACCAACCGGGGGGGAAGCGGTGTGTAGGGTAAACAGACCGGACACCGGGTCCCGGGGGAACGTCGCAAGGGGGAACCTGAGACAGCCTCAGAACAGACAGCGAACCGCTCGTGCCCGGGGAACGTGGTGGTGACGCCGAGGTCCTGGAGACAGCCGACACCAACCAGGTTCCTGGAGAACGAGGGAACGTGGAGGCCAGTAAGGGAGCCCGAGGGAACTGCCGGACAGGGAAGGGACGTAGAACTGCGCGCGACGACCGGACCCGCAGAGGGGTCAGCGAGAGAGACAACAGCAGGTGCAGCAAGCGGCGTGAGCGTGGAACGGTCGCGGAAGAAGCAGGCAGAAGCACCAGAGTCGAGAGTGAAGGACAGCGACGCAGTGGCGGGGGCCGGGGACGGAGCCGGTGCAGCGACTAGACTAGGCAACCTAGGCAGTCCTACGCCTGTCGCAGCAGGGGAAGCTAAGCTACACAAGGGTGAAACACCTAAACTAGAGTACACAGGGTAGTAAGATCCATCAACACTAGAAGCGTCAGCATACAAAGCATGCAAAGCAGCACCTATCTGATCCATGTCTAACTCAAGATCGGCACGCCCTGGCGGAGCAGGCTGTGCCAGTCAGGGAGGTCCGGGGCCGGGCCAAAGCGACGACGAAAAAGATCGTCGAGGCGGCGGAAACAGCGGGC